GCTACTGTATATTCCAATGGCTTGTAAAAGGCATGATAAATCTACAATACAAAAATCCATGTGATTGTCCTATCTTGCGTGACACAAGAACGTGACATGTCACACCAACCTCTAAGTTGTCTTCTCCGTGTATATTTATAGCATCTTCTTCGGAAAGCCCAACGGTGCTGTACTCAAGTGGWGTGAACACTGTCGTTGSTRCCTGTTTAARTGAAAAAAGAGAGCTTGCGTTTTAATCACGCCACAGTCCATACACGTAGACGTGTATCCTAAGYCTTTATTATCCCTTTCMGCTTTATGAATGTAGCCTCCTCCGCAGTCAATAATCMATATTGGGATCCCTCTGGTCTTCCTCAGTCATATTGAGAAAGACAGGAAGCCCAAGAGTAGAAAGARRRRAAMAGGAAGAGAGATGTCTGATGTATGAATGAAGATATTGTAAGATWMYCTCTTAACACCGAAGGGTAGAAAAGGTTCACRACGGGWTATTTGRAGTCCCCTATTTTTCTTATATATAYAAATCTAAAACATGCACGACCKCATTGAACGCCGGTTGGTCATTTAAAGTAGTGAATTCTGTAAATGGTTCTTTTCGTGAACGCTTTAATTGTCTAATATCGCAGGTAGGAACAGGACAATTTATACAGTACAAGGAGTCTAAACGATGCCATTGAAAATCTAAAAGAAAATTTAAAATAGTCTATGTTAACTGAACATCTAGATCTGAACTCTAAACAAGTTGAATCAAATTTTCGTTGACAATGCATAACTTTTATTTCATCGTTGAATACATTAACATTGAAAAATACAGTTAAAATCAATTACAAATTAACTTTATGAAAATTTAGTTTTATAAAATCTATGTCGCCTGTCTCATGTGGTAACCGGGCTATGGTTGTCGTTACCAGGCCTCTAAGCGCACGTCTTTACGCATTTTCCTTTAGAACACCTTGTGCACGAGGAACTGGCCTTGCAGTCGAAGTTGCAATTCCAACCACGTGGACAAGTCTGCTTACACGTTTTCACTTTGGAAGTACAGACCATTGTACAACTCGTGGCATAGCAAAACTGGTTGCAAACACGTGCGTTGCATCTCAGTGTTACTGAAGTTCCCCTTCCATTCTGGTTACAGCTTCTAGAGTTKGAGTCGCACAGAACGTTGATTGATGTGCCATGACTGGTCTGTTGACAGTTCTTAGCGTTGCACTTCATTGTAGAGGACGTTCCCCTGAACTTTTGRACACATTTTGCGGTGGACTTTCGGACGCATGTTGGGTCACACGAGGTGACGCCTTCGCATTTTTGATTGCAATTTCTGCCGTCACATTTGAATGTTGCTGAAGTTCCTGTGGCCGTCTGATGGCAGTTTATAACGGAGGAGGAGCAGGCGTAGTTGCACGATGTTTGGCGACAGTTTTGAATGCATGTTGGTTTTCTACAAGTAGTTGTTCTCCAAAATGACTCAACGTTGACTACCAGTAAGGTCAGGATAAGAAGAGTACCAAGAGATAACGCCATTTCTAGAATCTAAATGAATATGTCAGACATTTGCATTTGACATTTTCATCAACGCATGAGGGAGGCCGTGGAAAGCATATATATTTAATATTTAAGATAAACATTAGGCTTCTATTAAAGTACAATGTATTTTCAAGTTATCAAAACGATGAGGTCAAATAGCTGGAACCGAAATATTCTATGTGAAAACTCATTTGAATTATTATTTTTTGCATTGTAGTAGATGGTAATTTTGTATTTCACAGCATGAATTTACCAAAAGTGAGTTAATTCATTTGATGAACTTTCTACTTTTAAACAAATAAACAAACAAAAACAAAAAACAAATAAACACACCGCAAATCAAAATATCATTGACGATAACTTTTGCTAAAAGACAATAATACCGCCTTGTAAGTAGACTGTCAGTAGTAAGATAATGCTTTAAGTAAGTATTATATAGAGAATATTACATGGGCGCGCGGAGATACGGATTTTATCTTCGAGTGGTGAAAAGATCTCAACACGAGAAGATAAAATTCGTATCTCCAAGCGAACATGTAATATTCTGTTTATCATATAATTATATATGAAAGCAAATTATGTCGTAAAATATATTTTTTCCAACTCATTACTATATAGAGAAACCTCGAATGTGTTATTTTCACTAGTGAAAATGACATGTTATTTTCACTAGTGAAAATATCAATTTTACGAAATGGAGAAATATAGGTATTTCATAGATAATTATATGATAAATTTATTTTATTCATATTATAAAAGATACTCACGTTCAAGTCAAGCTCGATGCAGCAAGATTTACACTCGGCAAATGAGCTAATGAACTCACTAATAAATAAAACCAACGCAGGATGTTTATTCAGCAATACTGAAACTGTTCTTACAATACGGTATCAGCTTCTTTTTGTACATCATTAGCCAATGACTATTTATGACATTGTGAGGGCTACTAAAACCACAAAACCACAGTTCTCTTTCGGTTCTGTTTATTATTTCTTCAGCTTGTTGTGGTAAAAGACTTTAAAGTGCTTACTCGCTATGTCTGCTGTAAGTGCTTTCGAGGTCCTTTTCCGGTGTAATACATGCATCAGTACTTTCGGAGAACAATGCGTCCGCCATCTTGAAAAGTGAGGCCGGAATCACTATGTTGTGCCTTAGAACACATTTCGTRGTTGCTAAGTCAACTAATCTATCATTATATCGTATAATAATAACTTGACATTAGCTGAGAAGTTTTTAAATCCTCTAGAAAATATAATTTAGTGATACGAAAAATAGGACGGTCCCACTTTTCAAGATGGCGGACGCGTTGTTCTCCGAAAGTACTGATGCATGTATTGAATTTAGTGAGAAAATTATTTATTATGAAAAAGCTCGGGCATCAACGAGAGAAAGGAGTAGATAATATGTGTATTGTTGAACTTTTCGTCAATATAAGAACATATAAATAAAAGCATAGTTATAACAGATTCTCAGGTGTAAAAAAGCACAGTTATAGTTATTATTCTTATGGACTGCGMAATGTTTTTCAGGATGGGGTTAAGAATCCAGGGGGGAAAGCTAATTTTAAGTGCTTAAAGAGGGGGGGGGGAAACGTCTAAAATTAACTAGAACTTTAATTGGAAACTGATAACTCAATGTTATCAGATTCTGTGCTTTTTGCCCAAGTACTTATTGCAGTGCAAAACTCAAGAAAAGCGTGCCACGAATTGCGATAACTCTTCTTTATTCACGAATAATAAATTGATAAATTAACGGGAGTTGGAAAGAGGGCAGTTTATTTCGTTTGCGAGGGGAGAAGGGGTAGTATTTTTTGACTCACTTCTCAACCCCCCCCCCCCCCCCCCCCCCCACTCCTGTGAATACTGTGCAGTCCCTTAAGGAGGTCATGCTTAAATTTCACCCTCAAACTATTAAACTTACGTTATCGTAATCCATATGTACGTCTGATTGATTGAATATTCTTTTCGCTAAAAGCTTTCCCGCCATAATCGCTACTGGTGTTAGCTCAGGACGATCCTGAAACGATACATCAATAAATAGTCGTGTTATCAGTGAGGTTAGTGAAATAAACAAATGCAAGAGATATAGGAATGAATTGTTAAATGGTGGATTAAACAATGGATTGACGTATGGACAGATGAAAGAGTGAAGGAGTGTCAACTGTCGGACGAACAAACGTACGCAAGTACAAACGAACTGATTGTAGTAACAGACAAACGAACGAAAGACGAACTGAAGGACGAACGAAAGGTGAACGATCAAAAAGAAGTACGAACCAACGAATTGTGGCATGAAGGAATCAGTAAAGGATACAACAAACAAATATGAAGGGAGGGGAGGGAGGGAGGGAGTAGAGGGAGGGGCACAATAGCCAACTTTAGATATTTTAGTTTAATGACTATGTACAAAAGAACGCACACGAGGCTCCGGGAAACAATGGATAATCTTGATTTATTCTTTTATTTCCCCGGAGCCTTGTCTGCAATTCTTTTGTGCATGGTCACTGAACAAAAATATCTGCAGTCGACTATTATTGACACTCTGATCCGAACTTCAACCTTTTTCTTTCTTTATTTTGCGTTACGTAAATTGTTGGCAACAAAACCCTAAATGAATCGTGCTATAACGTTAGAGTTTCCTGTGACAAATGGTGAGGTACTGGGCATTAGACACCAGTCTTCTTACCTGCAGAACGTCACCAAYAGCGTAGATGTTTGATGCTGACGTTTGCTCATTGTTCATTCCAACGATGTAGTTTGTCTTGGGGTTTACTTGAACACCAGCGTTTTCCAGTCCCAGGTTCCTGGTCAATGGGTCGCGACCTGTCGATCAAAATGCAAGATATGCATAGTAAACTTGGAATTTAATCACTGTTATTCGCGTGGAATTGCTATTGTTTGAGGCCTCCGTTGTAGTATGATGACAAGGTTTCAAAGAGGAACAAACATGGCGTTCAGGTTGTTATAAACGGGCAAAAAAAAAAAAGCTCGAGAAATCGCAAAAAAAAACTTTACCGTTCGCGCCGTCAGTTTCAGCTATGCATGTAGTGAAGGCTACATAAGCATCGACAACCGACTCAAACATTTAGCAGTTTTCAAGTTCTCATTGGTAAAAAATGGATAAGCGTGTAGTAACAATCGACAAATCAGAAAATTACGTTTCAGACGATATCATTGTGCTTACGAGTCCAACAACAAAACACAAGCGCATAWATAAGGACAAACAGTGACTTCATAACAGTTCATCTAATAATCTAATAGACAACAATTCATCCTCCCTTACCAATGGCCATCAAAACAGTGTCAAACTCTTCCCTACTACCCTCCCCTGAGGATAAATTCTTCCAAGTGACGCTCAGGTTTCCCGCGTTATTCTTCTCAACACCAAGAGGGACAGACTGTCGAAGGAACCTGGTACCGTGTCTCTCCATGTAAGACACTGCGAGGTYGGCCATTTGCTTAATGTGAAAAAATGAGAGAAATGTTTAAGTGTTTTCAATAGGTGTTGTAGGAAGGAAGATTCGTTCCCTACCATTACCAACATTCTTAACATGCCCTCTACTTTTCCGATCAGATACAGAGGGGAGCAACACCAAACACACTTGTCTTTGATGGATCAATTTTGACTTATTAGGTGAGACAATTCCCAAGTTCCCATCCCGAGCTGAATAAACTCCAACTAAATACATAAACACACACGTTTTGCTTGTTTGCTAGATTGTTTATTTAAATATCTATTTGTTTTCCATATATAATCTTAAAATATTATTATTTTTCTATATACTCACTAAATTATTTTATTTTTTTATTTTTTTATAATTATTTTTTAAGAAAGAAAACAAATTTCGACGTCAATGACGCTATTTTTTTAACGAAAACGAAAACGAAAACATGTCATTTTTAACCTTATTTATTTATTATTGTACATAGTTAAATATATTTGATTCAAAATTGTATTTTATTGGAATTTAATATAAATTTTATTTTTATTAGGTTGCCGCATGAACTAACTTAAAAATCCCATGTTTCCTTATGATATCAAAAATCCAAGCATGACAAAACTAAGTTGCACGCTGTTTACAATGACCGCATGCTACATGGAAGTACCATCGTGGTACGTCATCACTATTCCAACCCAGCTCCTCAGCGGCGCAAGCCAAACATTTCCTGTCTCCTGTGCCATACTTTCCTATCAGATGAAGACACGTTCGTCTACAAACTCTACATGTGTGRTGRAGTTTGGCTTTACCTCCTCGCGCTCGGGCTTGGCCTGGACGAACATAAGCATAGCACCATTCTAGATTGATAATCTCGCCGTCTGCGTCCGTATTTATGTCAATGATATGATGGTCTTCAATTTTGATAGAATTTTTTAATTCATTTCGCAAATTTTTAGATGAATCCACGCCATTTCGCTTTTTCTTGGATTTAATTTCATTGTTTGACTGGAAATCATCTTTGCTAAGACTTTGTTGGTCTTTTGGTCGAGGTTTTTCGCCTGGAGGGAGTTTTTGCTTTCTTTTCGAAGATTTCACATTATTTCGGGCTTTTTTCTTGAGAGTGTCTTGCTCGCGATCTAAAAATCTCCAAAAATCCGCATCTTGTTTTCTTTTTGAACTTCCTCTATAGGTTGTGCTCTCCTTCTGGCTTGAAGTTGTATTACAACCATTATCTAAGGAAGATTGTACTGTTTTTGAAGACCCTTTCGCACCTTTGGCTCCAGCATTTCTCCTTTCACTACAACCATCATCATTACCACTAGAACTGATACAARACATTCTTCTACTGGAATTCCCAATGCACTTCCAAACGGCACTCGGAAAGTTTGGAGTTTTATGCTTTGTTGTAAAGAAGCTGCTGTACCAGATCAACCTGGGAGAGAACCGAACAAGACCAAGAGCCTTCATGTTAGAATTCTGCAGAGAAAGATAAAGTCATCTCAGCTATCACAATCCAATGTCTTGCTGGGGGAGGTAAAACTTYGSTGGCAAAATTGAGAGCTTTWAATCTATTAGGTTTAGTTCTTCTAGATGCTGTTCAAGTATGGCAGGCCAAGCGCTCTATTCACGTAATCTAGACCAGTCTAGTCAGGTTCATCTGGAAACCTCAATTATTAGGAATTAAACCTCTACTTTACGGTCAAGGGCACCTCTATTTCACGAGGACCTCAGTTTTACGGACATCTTCATTTCGGAAGCTTTATTGTCACGGACAATTGAMGAATGACGAATCTGTTTTACGTACAATCCTCCTCTGTTAACGGACACGTCCATTTTGTAACTGCAGTTTTAGGATATTTCACATTTGCTGCGCCATGATTACAAATAAGAGATCACAAAATTTGAATAGGGGAAGATTCAGACTCCGTACCTTTCATGTAGCAAATTCAATATAAATGTTTTGTTCAGGCTCATTGTTACTATTACAAGTTTACCTGGTCAAAGCCACGTAATGGTATGGATCTCATCATGACAGACGAGTCAAAGCCAAGACCAGTGAGAAAACCAGCACATTCAAGTGCCACRTCTACAATCACTACAGTCAAGGTTATTATAATCAAGCAGTTKTTTGGAATATTAWRYCAYCRCRTGCAGATAAAACAGCACAATGACCTCGATTCAAGTACTCTATTGCTTGAATACTGGTCATTAGACAAATACTTTATTTATATCAAAAATGGATACAAGATGCACCAATCACCAGTCTGCAAAGAAAAGTAAAAGCAAAATTAAACGGCTTGTCAGATAACAAGATTAACAACTGAGTCGATAACGTGACCTGTGTTCATTTGACTGTGAAAGATTAGTCTTTCCTGAATCTATAGTTTTCTTTTCTTTTCTTTTTGTACATACCTACCTACCTACCCAAGGGTGGATTGTGTTGGTGGTGTGGGAGGGAGGGAGGGGGAGAGTTAGGGCTGGCTAGCCAACCACCACCCCCTATTACATTATATATCAATCGAATCACACTGTAAATCTATTGTTTACTTCAACTAACCTAACTAACTACCTACCTACCCAGGGACAGATCCTGGGGATTATGATTATAAAAAAAATAAAAGAAGAAATTAAAACTGAAAAACAACTAAAAAAGCAATGTTTATCTGAATGAAATTTCATTTTATACAGCTCCAATCTATCCATTTATTTATCTATTTAMTATTCACTTTTTGTTCTTCACAAACAAACACTAACTAATTAGTCATGTATGGTGCAGTGTCAAATGGAAAAAAATAAACGACAAGTAAATTAAGAAGTATTTACGTTCGTCCAGGTGCTTGTTTCAAAGAGAAAAGGTCATCGCTTGATATGCAGTATTCCTTGGCTCCTGGAACCTAAATAGAATTATTGCAGATTTGTGTACTTTTAGTACTTTCAATTAGCAGTTAAGAGTGGCTGTCCGTAAGAATCAAACAAATATCAAAATAAGTGGCAAACCTTGAAAAATCGATTTGGCTCATACTTTGATGTTTGGTAGGGTAATGTGTCCTAAGAATCCTGGTATACTTGGTTAAGCTAAATATCGTTTTATTTTTGAGATATATGCAAATTAGTAAACATGGTCGAAA